GAGAGAGAAATATATATATATATACATATATATATATGTATATATATATATGTATAGAGAGAGAGAAAGAGAGAGAGAGAGGAGCTGAGAGAGAAAGAGGAAGAGGAAGAGGAAGAGGAGGAAGGATAAAGAAGAAAAACCATTTGCAATAGAAGCTTAACAGTAAGACTGACAATAGTGAAGAACAGTTTAATATATTTTTAAAAGGAGTTGGATTACATATGCAGTATGTTGTAACATATTTAAAAGTACATACCAATTTAAAATATCTGAGACTTATTGCTTTCTTAGTCTGGAATGAGCTACAATGAACAAAGCTCATTAAGACTGCCAAAACCATTTTTAACAATAACGTACACATACAAACATATGCAGTTGAATTTAAGTTTCATATACACAAACACTCAGACTCAAAGCTAACTTATGCTTACAAATAAAGTTAAATCAAAAGTCACATGCATGCACACACACATATACATATTAAACAGGAATTAGATGAAGAAGATACCCTCGTGGGCCCTACCAAAAGCATGCCACTGCACAAACACACATGTAACAGAGTCAGTAAGAGGAATTCAGAGACAAAAATGTAAGTAAATGGCAAGATGAGGTGACGAGTATCTTAGTAAAGATGGTGACTAGGTTATCTGACTTTCCTTTAGTCAAGATGGTGGTGGTCATGTGGTCACCCATAGCAAAGATGACCATGAGGTCACCTGACCTGCCCACCTTGCCCTTAGTCAACAGGGTGGTGGTTACATGGTGTATGGAGAAACCACATGTTTTCATTAGAGCCACAGTGGGAATTTTAAAAAGATACAAATAACGAGTAGAATGTGTAGAACATATATTTAAAACAGAATCACATTCATGTGGCCACACCATTCACACATTCTTTCTTTCACTCATGGAGTAGACAGGAAACTTTTAAACGCCATTAGCCACAGTGGAGTGGGAACAGGGTCCCACTCTCTGGGCTAGATGGTGTAGCAGCAGCGGTCTCAGAGGCAGGAAAACAGAGAGATTTTAAGTAGGAGAAAGAAAAGGAGTGTTTACAGGTGGGAGGGGGGATACTCTTTCCCAAACCGGCTTATCCATGGTTGAAGGTAGTCCGGCAGAGGGAAAGGCAGACAGGCTTGAGATGCCAGTGACACAGATTTTAGCGTGGCTGGATAGAAACTTTTCCATCCGACTGTTAGCTGAGAGACATTAGAAAGCCTCTTTGTTGGGGTCTGCTGGTAGGTAACCACTTTGGGTTGTTATTTAAGAGGTACATAGACCATTTCTTAGAGCTGAGGGAGGAATGAGAGATGACATTCAATAACAAAATATTCTAGGCATCCCTAGAATAATGTAAAGATTGAGTAGATAGTTCAGGTCATCATAAGCCACGTCAGCATAGAGGGTGGGGACCAGGACCACTCTGAGTGGCCTGAGGGACAACAGTCCGAGACAAAATGCAAGATCCCAGTCCACAGCCATGGGGAATTGCCTGAGATGAATGTCAGCAAAGCTGACTTGGAGAAGGGGATCAAACCATTTAGTTGGTGTTGTTTGCAGCGATGGAGGGAATATAGGAAGTTGGAAAGTGGTCCAAGTCTAGGATCCCCGTGTTCCTCAGACTGTCCCCCCACGGGTGGGAAGGAACATGGAGAGAGCCTTGTTGAGTCAGGTACCAATGTTATGATTTTTGATTTATGGCATCATGACCCTGGCATATTCCCCTGCTGATTTGGGGGACCATGGCATGTGGGAGACAAACAGATACACTATGGGGAAGAGCTTGGGTATAGAATTTATTTAGTGAGAATTGGGATGGTATAAGGGTAAGGGGATTATGGAGGGGAAAATAAAAGAGAGAGAGATAGAGGGACAGAGATAGAGAGGAAAGAGGAAGAGAGGGAAGGGAAAGGCAGAGACTGCCTCTTCAGAAAAAGGTCGGACAGAGAGAGAAAGAAGAAGAGAGGAGTCACAAGATCTGCTTGCCTCAGGGGGAAGGAAAGGATTGAGAATGGGTAGGGCTTGTCTCTTAATTGGACAAGGTACCCAGTCACAGGACAGGCCAGCAGAATTATAATTATAATAGAGCATGTAAATCAAAATAATATTACCAAGAAACTTAGTAAGTCTTATGCCCAGATCATGGAGTACCTCGCAAAACCAATTAGGAGACCAAGTTCTGTATGTAAAAGCAAAGAGCCTTTATTCTCACACAAGTTTGCAAACTTGGACTCTTCATGTGTCAAATATTTTGGAGTGATTAGAGAGCCATCATTTTATAGTAGCAAAGGTAGGGGATTTTCTAAGGTTTAGGATCCCTGATTGGCTGACATTTGTCTAGGGGTGTCCTGGTGAAAAGCAATGAGTGTGTGCTGGCAGATGATCCTGTCTACAATGGTTGGAACATTAGGAATTTCCTTTGGATGGTCTGTTCTTGGTGTCTGGGCAGTCTCAGTTTGTGTTACTTCCTGTAGGCAGGTATTGCATCAATATAAACTCCTGAGACTCAGGCCTCTATTACACTTACCATAGCTGGCTCCTACAGGGCAGGTGATCCTATCTCCAATGGTTGGAATGTTAAGAACTTCCTTTGGATGGTCTGTTCCTATTAAGTTAATGATGGTTGGGTCCTACACTTTGCCCTTTATAAGTACCAATGACAGGACCCAATCATAGGTCATGCTTGCCTATGGGTTCAAAGAGGTATTATTAGGATCTAAGAACTATTTTAGTTAATAAATCCATTAACTGAGAGCTCTTGCCTATTTTTCTGGTATACCAACAAGCACTATAGGTAGCCATTTTGTCCCCCATGCCAGGGAGTTTCCCCTTGTCTCAGCCTTTCAACCTATTCTGGGCAGGGACCATGGGACAATGACAACATGTTCCTTTCTGCAACTACTTCAAGCTGACATTGGGGCATTGTCATTAGGACCCAAGTAGATTGAAAGGCTAGCCAAAAGTAAGGAGGGAATTCAGGCAATGTGGCACTCATCAGAAGCATCTGGTTCACAGACTCCGTTGAAGGGACAGGAAACAATCACATCAGCTGGACCAGTACACATCAGCCTTCAGGAAGTCCAGGGCTCAGAGTCATTCGGAGCAGGTTATACTCAGCAACTGATGCTTAGATATATCTGCCAGCCAAGTGGAAACCTATTGACACAAGTTTCAACTAGGAACAGAAGTTAGAATTTTTGTTCTTAAAAGAAAATAATGCATGTAAAACTTTATTGAAATCCATATTGTAGAGGAAAAAAGAAAAAAAATAGATAATGCATATCTGTAAAACTGTAGAAATAGACTCATACCTTTGAGTCCTAGCAAAAACTACAGATTTTGATTAGAAGCATGTATATTTTTCTATTGTTCAGTGATCCATGTATGGATTGGACAGAGAATTCTTTGGCCTGATGAGAAACACCCTTAAGTTCTATTTAAATGACAACCAAAATAAATCTAAACTCTTGAGCCTGTAATCCAAACAGTAAGTAGTCATTGCTCTACCAGCTTATCAGAACTATACCATAGATGGGGGAAGAAATCAGAAACATTTTCCATATCTTAACCTGCATTTACATCTGAAATCACTTTTTAGATCCTCAAAGCTTATGAACTTTTATATCCTCAGACCTTTATATATCTTAAAACATTTTTTTAAATCAAGAGACCTAAAGATAAGCTTTAGAAAAAGCAAGGCTTGATTTCTACGGTGAGGGGTACACCCACACACTGAGACAATGGGGATGTTCTATCGGGAACTCACCAAGGCCAGCTGGCCTGGGTCTGAAAAAGCCTGGGTTAAAACCGGTCTCGCTGAACATAGCGGACAAGGAGGACTACTGAGACCTCAAGAACAATGGCAATGGGTTTTTGATCCTACTGCACCTATTGGTTTTGAGGGAGCCTAGGCAGTTTGGATGCTCACCTTACTAGACCTGGATGGAGGTGGGTGGTCCTTGGACTTCCCACAGGGCAGGGAACCCGGATTGCTCTTTGGGCTGACAAGGGAGGAGGACTTGATTGGGGGAGGAGGGGGGAAAGGGGAGGCGGCAGAGGGGAAGAGACAGAAATCTTTAATATATAAATTAAAAAAAATACTATCAGAGATTCCCGAAGGATAAGTAAATTATACCTGAGTTTCCAAATCTATTAAAAATAACAGTGAGCAGAGTCCATATACCATTAGCCATACCCAGGTATCCATAGCATTAGGAGACATAAGATTCTACAACAGCAGTCTTAGGCCAATAATATGAATTTTTTTTTTAATTCTGTGAAAGAGGGAAATGGGAAAGACTGACCTTATTTTGCTAAAGAAAAAAGGGTACAGTCAATTCTCCAATGTCCTGCTCTTTGCCCACAGTCTGGACAGGGTCCTGGCAGACGGTGTTAACCTGGGGCATCTCGTCCAGTGGTCAGCATCATCGTAATCCAGATGGAGACATCATGGTGTCCCATAATCTTCTTTGGAGACATTGGGTTACTGCTACTATCTCAGCATCTCTGTCTAATTAATAGGCTTTTAAACATTATTTTAAATACCATATTCTGCAGATTCCTGAAGTATGAGAGCTGCCCAGGATATCTGATTACACAAATTTTGTTCCGAAAGTAAAAATTGGAACAAGTTGTTATCTGGCTGTTAATGCTGTCTCCTGGGAAGGCAAAGAAAAAGTCCCAGGGTGAAATGGGGACAGAACAGGAGGGAACCTAAAGGCTAGCGTTGCCCTAGGGCAAACTGAGACTCCTGCCTACCTTCCTGCTGATCTGTGCTTTGATTTTTCCCCAGTAAGGAAATTTTTAGTAAACAGCATAGTTGATTTATTTGTTGTTTTGTTTTTGTTTTTACGGTAAACCAATGGCAGTAAATATAGTGACATTTTAAAGTGTTGGATTTATTTTCTTTGAAGTTTAGTGCTTTTTCTTTTATTAAAGATAGATTTTTTAGATAATATAATCTGATTACAGTTTCCCCTCCCCCATTCCTTCTAGTTCCTCCCCACATCCCTTCTCAACCAATTCAAACCCTTTTAAGTCTTTCATTAGCAAGCAAATAGGTGTTTAAGGAATAATAATAATAATAGAAAATAATTTAAAAAAGAAACACATCCTAATAGGACAAAATCTATCTATAAGAAGAAGAGAAACACATGAAATGCATATAGATGCAAAGGTACACACATTTGCACACACAGGCATCCCATAAAAACACAAAACTGGAAGCCATAACACATAAGCAAAGAATGCCCTGACTTCATACTATGAGACAAAGAACCTCCCAAGATATTTTGGGTTCATTTTGTGATGTCTGCCTACCCTTCAGAGTGGTTTGCTTCCCCACTGAGACTCTCTTGGAGAAACCTAATTCTTCATTTACAACTTACTACTAACTGGAAATAGCTTTTGGGTTAGGGATGAGGGCATGTGTCCCCTTTTCCTTTTGGCTCAGGTCCTGTGTTTCTTGATAGTCATAGTAAAGGCATTATTCACTTTTCCACTTCCTGTGAGCAAGAATCTTTTCTTCAGGATACCTGGGTATCCCAAATGCAAAGTAGCATAGTTTCACTAAAACTGAAATAAGATTTTTTTTTTTTTTTGTTATCCCAGTCTGTGAGGACCCAAAAGACCACCAGGAAGACCAATTCACCAAAATGCAAAAGCAATGTTTATTGGGTGCACGTTATAAGCCGGCAGGTACCTTGTCATCACATCAGCAAGAGGAGGTACCCTGCCCTTCTAGAGGGCATTATTTAAATGCAAACCCCAGAAAAGTCATATTAGCAGGGTATGGGGTTGTTGTAATACTAGCGGCAGGGCTATGTTCCTGGTACCCGGCGACTCCCTGATTCAGCTTCTTTCTCCCAGCATTCTCTTCTGTTTTCTCCTCCTACCTAAGGGTTGACCTATCAAATGGGCCTAGCCTAGGCAGTTTCTTTATTAATAAGAAATCACTCCCACATCATGGGGTGACAAGTTCCATCCTGGTTGGCTGACATTTGTCTAGGGGTGTCCTGGTGAAAAGCAATGAGTGTGTGCTGGTAGGTGATCTTATCTACAAGGATTGGAACGTTAGGAACTTCCTTTGAATGGTCTGTCCCTGTGTGGTGCCTGGGTAGTCTCTGTTTGTGGTCTTTCTTGGAATCAGGTATTGTCTTAGGGTAAACTAATGAGACTCAGGCCTCTATTGGACTTGTCATGGCTGGGTCTTACCTTTTCATCTCTGTGTGCACAGTTCTTTGCTTTTTCCATTACTAAAATCACTAGATTCTAAGATGATGTATCTGAAATAAGGTAACTTTTTATCTTACATATTGTTATTATTTTGCTTCAATGGAAGTTGAGTTAATAACATTTTTTTTATACAGCTTCTCAAAGTCCAAGTATCCCAGCATTAGGACAGCTGGGCTTGTATCCATGGTCTATCCATCAACTTTTTAAAACTGTATTTTACTATATAAAATTCTGTATTAAAACAGGTGCCCCCTAATCATCCAAGAACAAGAAATCTGAATCATCCAGCACTCCAGGTAATTTGATTTGTGGTTTGGGGTGTTAAAAAAAAGACACATGCAAATGCAAATATAAGTTTGAAAGGTTCTGTTGGCTACTGGTTTACCAGGACCTAATATCACAGTATCATTGTCTTTACAAAACTGAACCTCTTAGTGTTTCCTGAGAAAAAGATTTAGGAGACCCATGAGGTGTTTAAAAAAATTTTATGATTAAGAGCAAAATTTTGTTTTAGGGAAATTTTAATAAAGTCCTATATCACCTCTCCTTTATCAATTTAGACATATTTATTAAACCTTTCTAAAAAAGTTAGGAATATATAATCTATGTCCTTGCAACTTGAGTACCATTCCCCTTTGATCTAGGGAAATTACATTTCTCATGTACATACATAATTTCATTATTCATATTAGATAATAGTGGTGGACTAAACTGTACCTTGAACTTGCTTGTTTTGTGACTTCTGATAAAGATTGGCTTGTGGTATTTTATTTTTCAAGCAGAGTAGACAATTGTGTAATAGATACAGTGTGGTAGTGATTGGGTGATGGTATGTATGGTTTAGATAAAGCGCTGTGGTTCCCCGAGGGGCGACAGCAGCAGGCCAGAAGGGCAGCTGGGTCCCACCATCCGAGGCCTCTGTGGGTCCCAGGATGGTAGGAGGCAGTGGGTGGGAGACCTGGGCGGGTAGGCATCTGGGCAACTGGTCCCACAAGGAGCAGATAAAAGACGAAGATGGATAGGCATGCTATGCAGAGAGAGGGTGTATTCAGTAAAAGGGAAGGAAAGGGAAGGCAGGGAGTGGTGAGGAGAGAAACAGTGAAAGTGAGTGGGGAGAGAAGGGGGAAGAGGAGTGGAGAGGAGCCACAGCAGCACCTTGCCTGAAAAGAGACAGGGCAGAGAGAGAGAGCTCTTAGGCTGGAAGAGGAAGGAAGATCCACTTGCCTTGGAGGAAGGGAGGGGAGTGGTTGGGACTTGTCTCTTAAAGGGATAGGACATACCATTACATTTCCATCTTTTTTTTTTTAATAATAAAAAGTTGGGCGGTTATTTTTATCTAAACCATTACAGGCATGATCCTAAATGAATTGTCCCTAAGGATTTCAATGGCTGGTTGGGCTGAGAAACAAAAGTGGATTTCACAGATAACCATCCATATGAATTTGGCAAGTCCCAGCTTTCAAGAGCAATTTTACATATTCAGAACAAGGAACTACACCTTGACAACAACAGCATTTAACTTCCCAATTGAAAGTACCATATCATTTTAAATCAATGTATATTTAAATATTATCTACACCTTGTGTTGAACAGAGAAAGGATCTCATATTCCAGAAGCAACTCCCACATACTCAGAAGCCAAGGAAGTTACTGGTAAGTGAACACATCTCAAATGTGCATTCTTGTTTAGATCTAACCCAGTACCTGAAACAGGTCACCAAGTAACGAAAGTCTGAAGCTAATTGAAAATAGCTACTCTTCCTTCACTTGTTTGCTTGACTCCTTCATGCTTTTATAATATTGTATTCACACTATTTGCTTCTAGGTCCCAGAAATGCAGCATATGAAATACTATATGTGCATATACATACATGATTCTACTTAAAAAAAATTGTAATCTAATTTTTGTACTAATTTGTTATGTGATACCACATCCACCCAGGATAAAAATCACTCTTTTAAGAGCAAAATGAATGAGTAAACATCAACTTCCTTTTCTTCCTTCCTCTTATTAGGCACAATATCCTTTTCCCCTAGGAAAAATAGATGTTTTGATTAGAGTTGTGTTTTAGCCAGACGGATCTTTTCAGACATCTCATGGGACCTGTTTACAACAAAAATCCTCAGTGACTGGCAATTTGAACCTTATTATTATTATTTTTTTGTACATAACTATAAGAAGCAGCTAGAAGGTATAGCTGTTAATGCATTCTCTGACCATTGTGCAGGCGAAACGTTTACGTGGGGCAATGGCAGGTACAAAGCTCTCAATGGCCGCATCTTCTCCTTTGAGTCTTCCTGCGCATACACTTTCTGCCGTGACTGTGCCGAATCTGGAGGAGACTTCAATATCGAGATCAAAAGGCACAAAAAGAATAGGATTGAAGAAATAAGAGCTCTGATTGATGATGTTGGCATCTCAGTTTTGAATAACACTATTTTCGTTAACGACGAAAGGTAAGTAGCGGTATGGAGAGCCTAAGAATTAAAGGGTAGTTTAGAGGATGAGCCAAAACCAACCAGACACAGAAGCCGAGTTAAGTAAGGAATGTATGCCAGGCGCCTCTTTCAATGCTTGTCTACAGCAAGGTAGAACACAGCCAATGATTGCGCCTAGATTTAGTGTAAAATGTAGACTCTACAAAACAGATACCGGAACAGTACCCTTTTCGTTCATGTCTTCTAACTATACTAAATGCAAAGGCAACATTTCACAAATTAGAATTCGATGAGATCACAGCTCCTAGATAATCATTTTTCAGAAATATCTACTCAGATTTCAAAGAAACAGACTCTGACAGCTTTCTGTGATTAAAAAATTAAGAGGCAATTGATAGTCTACTTGTGCATATTCCAAACCATTAGACTGTTTTTTTTTCCACTCATGCCCAACCAACATTCTATCTGTTTAGTTTTCCAAAAAACTGAGGCTATAGTAGTTATTCCTTAACAGCCCTTGTTACTGGAGTACTTTCCTCATCACTTGCACACTTTTCTAAAAATTTTTCTCAGGATACAAGTGCCATACACCAACAAGATGATTCACATCAAAAAACAAGGTGATCACTATGTTCTGAACAGCCGCAGAAAAACCCTTTCTCTAAGATGGAGCAAGAACAAACTCTCAGTAAGTCAACCAGTGAACTTCTTTGAACGTTCTGGTTTTTGGTCTTTGGTCTTTGTCATAAAAATAGACACATAAGGAAAGAATTTGCTGATAATTTTTGATATGCTCTCTGTGCTGAGCCTTATTTTTCCTGAGAGTCCAAGCACCTCAGTATGCAGCCCTCTTAGGTGGCTGATGGTGGGCAGAAACACGCAAAGGAAAGCAAACGTATTTTTATGGGCTTCCTGAGTGTGCGCAGGAGTGGGTCTCTGCATCTGTAATGGTCTGCTCATGAGCAGGTCCCTGCGTCTGTATCTGTCTTGTGCCTTCTGTTGGGCTCTTTTTCTTCTGTTTGTTTTGTCCTAATTTACTGTGTTAGTTTTTGTTTTAGCATTATACTATATTATTTTATATTGTATTATTATATTATTTTCTCTTAGAAGTCTGTTTTCTAATGAGAGACAGGAAACGTGTGAATCCAGATAGAAGGGGAGGTGTTTGAAGAAATAGGAGGAATAGAGAAGTAGGGAAAACTGTAATCAGAATATATTATGTGAGAAAAGAACACTATTTTCAATAAAATGGGAAAATATGCCTGTTGGTGGTGGAGAATGCCTTTAACCCCAACACTTGGGAGGCAGAAGCAGGTGAATCTCTGTGGTTTCGTGGCTTGCCTGATCTACAAAGTGAGTTCCAGGTAGTCCTTGTCTTGAAGTATCCCCTCCCCCGCAAAAAAAATCTGTCTGAGGACATGAAAAACATTGGGGTCAGACTTGTACCAAGTTTGGGTCACAGTTTCTTTAAAAAAGATGCTGTTCCCCCATCTGACCAATGTACCCAGGGCTGCACAGGAAAGGACCATGTCTTTTGGCTTGGTTAAAAATTGTCTTGAGATATTTTCAATATTTTATGGAATAATATCAATATTATTTGCTTTTGCAGCTCACTCTTTATAGCCAGTATACCACCTGTGGTCTCTGTGGCAACTTCAACAACACTCCAGGTGAGCTCTGTCAGATAGTTCCTAAGATAATTTCTTTCTAAAGAAAAAATTTAAAAATTCACACTTAGATAAATTTACTAACAATTTGCATTTGTCTAAAGGATGGTACACAGAAGCAAAATAGATTTATCTTGCCAATGCTCTATGTAGCTTACAAATAAAGTACAAATGAGAATCTTGAAATCATACTTTGATTTGCAGGCGAAGATATCAATGAGCACATTGCTAATAGTAAAATTTCCAGTGACTGTCCCAGTGCTGTGAGTAAGAGCAGTGAAGTCTGCGAGGATGGAGTACAGGTATGCAATGTGGTTTAACCTTGTAGCAACTTCAGCACTGTTTCTCCCGAATTATTAAGGTAAAATTTGTTGTGTGTTTTAAGGTATCTAACATGATATTATGGGGTGTTTTACTTAGGGTTTCTATTGCTGTGAAGAGTCACCATGGCCACAGCAACTCTTATAAAGACAAATATTTAATTGAGGTGGTGACTTACAGTTTGGAGTGTCAGTCCATTATCATCATGGTGGGGGAACATGGTGGCATGCAGGCAGACATAGTGATGGCTGTATCTTGATCAGGAGGTCACAGGAAGTGCACTGTTTCATTGGGCTCAGCTTGAGCATATATGAGCCCTCAAAGCTGACCTCCACTGTGACATACTTCCTCCAACAGGACAACACCTACTCGAACAAAGTCACATCTCCTAATAGTGCCATTCCTGCCATTTTATTTCAAACCACCACATGGAATACATAAAGAGAATAAAAAGATTACTGTAATGAAGAAAACTAATATACCCATCATATCATATAGCCATTCATTTTTTGAAGTTGTGCCAAAATGAATTGAACTCTACTCATTTAGCATGAGTATTTTGCATGGTGCCTTTGTTTTCCGAAGTCCTCACATGGACACACGAGCTCAGGATTTGCTCATCCTATGTATATGATATAACTTTTGGCATATGTCTCCCTGTTACTTCTCCCCAACCCATTTCTCCATATATTGGATTGCCTTTAAAGATTCTTCATATAAATGAGATTATACAATTGAGAAAACTATTCCATATAGCATAACCTTCTCCAGGCTCATATATTTTGTTGCAGTTCAATATCTTGTTCTTAATTTTAGTACTGTATAACCACAATTCTTTGTCCATTTCTCTTTCTATAGATATTTAGGTTGTTTCCATTTCTTGGCTGTTGGGAATGGTACTATATGAATGTGAAAGAGAGATATCATTTTGATAGTTAATTTCACTGGACCAGAGCCCTGTCTTTATGCACCCAAAACTTCTATGCTTTTTTTCCCCCAATGGCTGAAAAAGAGTTTCTTCTTCATATATGTGCTCTCATTTGTTATTTTCTGACTTTGTGTTGATAGCCATTCCAGTGGGTTTGGTGTATATTTATCTAATGATTAATGACATTGGACACTTTCTCATACTCTTTTTGGTGCTCTTGGTTTTTCTTTTTTGGGAGGGAGAGGGTGGAAATGTTTATTTAACTTATTGTCCTTGGGTTGTTCCTGCGTTAATGAGTTGTATGAGCTCTTAATCAACTTTGTAATCAACCCGTTGTCAGATCATGATTGGCAAATATTTTCGCAATCTCTAGGTTCCCATTTAAAAATGTATTTCAGAAAATGCATTGCTTCTCTTGCTGTGCATAAAAAAATAAATGCAGGGTATTTACTAGTTTTTGCCTTGTTGGCCTGAACTTTTAGCGTGACATCTAAAGGTCATGCCAAGCCAATGGCTAGGAGTGCTTTCTTTCTTGGATTTTAGGTGTTTATATTTTCAAGTGGTACAGTTATCTTCTTATCTTTGACTTGATTTCTGCTTCTGGTGTGAGAACAGGCTTCAGTTAGTTGTTTTCTTTCTTGCATGGCAATCTTGTTTTCTAAGCACCGTTTCTTCACAGGACTATACTCCCCCATTATTTTATCTTGGTGCCTTGTCAATCAGTTAGCCTCCTGAAGTAGATTTAGCCCTGGTACCTCTCTCCTGTCCTGCTGATCAGTGTGCTATGTGAATGTTATAGCAAGGGGGCCCACAGTTTCTATTTAGAGGCTCCCATCCCTTGGGGACTCCCAAGCCAGTGCTGGAATTCTGCCCCAGCTTTCTCTCAATGTCCTTGTACTCCAACCTTCCATTCCAGTCCACTTGTGAATGTTAAGATTTTTTTTTCCCCAAAGCAACATTGTATGTACTCCGCTTTAGTGTCATAATTCGAATTTTCTTTGCATGATGTTCTAATTTTTCTGTCAGACATCCTTCCTTTGCTTCGCAGTCTTGGTGATTCCGTAACTTCCGACCTAAGCATGCTGTTTAAAATGTCCTGATCTTGATTCTTAAAGAGTTACACAGAATAACATTTTTCTTAACTTTTATTGATTCTCTGTGGATTTCGCATCATGTATCTCGATCCCACTTTTCTCCCTGTCCCCTCATGTCCTTGCTTCTGCTCTCTGCCCAGGCACTCTCCCTCACTAAAACAAAACAAAATTGAAAAGAAAAACCAAAAATTAAACCAAAATAAAAAGAGGGGAAGCATCTTGTTGTGGAAGCTGTAGTGTGGCTCATTGAGTCACACCGTCTACCCTTTAGTTCATGTATCTTTACTTGTAAATGTTCCTTGCAATGAGTCATTGGTTGGTTCTCGGTTCAAGGCCTCGGGCTTTTGCTATACTATAGATAATGGACTCTCTCTGGGGATCCTTTTGGATATCCTGTTGTTGTCATGGAGGTCCTGCAGTTTTGGATCTGTAGGTTTGTCCCCTTCAGATGCTCCAACAGTTCATAGATGTGGTTGATGTTGTGGTGGGCTAACTCGTAGCCCTGGTTCTGGGCCTGGGTGGAAGCTAGGTTGGTCAGCCTTCCATGCTTCTTCCCCCATCATCACCACTTGGGGGAGCTAGCCAGCACTTGGCTAGTTTATCCAATGCATCCTCCAGCAAGGGGTGGGGCCGGCTCTCCTGTTCCCAGGTCTCCAGATCAGGCCTAATCACATTCACAGTACCTGTAGGGTTGCTTCTACTCTTTTGCCCAGGCAGATGCAGGGCTTTCTCTTCTGACTGCTGCAGGAAGGGTATGAGGAGGGGAGGGGTCAGCCCTCTTGTTCTCAAGCCTCACCCGGTCCCCAACAACTCTAGTGTACTGCCCAGGCAGGAACAGGGCCCACTCTCCTGTGCATGGCAGCTGGTAAGGGACAGGGATAAATAACCCTCTCACTTTTGAGATCCCTGGCCAGCTCTTTTTCTTGCCTGCTGCAGGTAGCATGGGACAAAGTGGGAATGTGTGGTTACATCTTTCCCTTATGGAAGCTACCACGTGGCAGACGGCTGAGGGGGTCATCTCTGCTGCCCTCATGCCACCAGGGCATGAGGGTTATGACCTCCGGTGTTAACACTGGCCAGCTTACCTACATCTGGACAACAGGGTCCGCTTTAGTGCGCTGCCCAGAAGGAATGCAGATCCCACTCTCCTGTGGGTAGCAGTCTGTTAGGGGCAAGGCTAGGTCTTCTACTTTCATGCCCTGGGGCTGGTTCTCTCAACTGCCATGGTGGCAATGGGTAAGTGGGGGGCAGCATCTTTCTCATCTTTCTCTCACTCATACCACCACATGGCAGATGAGGGGGTGGCAAGATCAGATCTCCTCCTCTAATGCCCTGAATCCCCAACAATACATTCAGCTCTAGTTGCTAGTCAGTGGTGAGGGGGTGGGGCTATCTTTCCTGAGTGTGTGTTTGTGTGGGGGACAACTCTCCCCTGAGAGGCAGGGCAGGCTCTCTGGTTGCAGTATCCAGCCAGGGAGGGACAGGGCCATTCATCCTAGGGCCAGCGAAGGGTGGGGCTGGCTCAAAACAGCCCACGAGTTTTCACATGTGTGGCACCTATGACCTCCGGGGCTAACACTGGCCACGAACATCATCAGATACTTCAACTGCATAGGTCTACAGACCCAGACATGGCCCTAGGCAGTGGCCCTGGCCAATGTCTCCATTGCCCCAGATGGCAGTACAGGCTACTCAGATCAGTAAGACCTCCACAAGGGCATGGCCCTTCGAAACCGAGGCAGTCTCATCAGAAGAATAACAATTCTTGTCTATACACTTAAAGCAATTTATGAAAAACATTCTCCATAATTCCTTTTTCCTATTTTCGACTTATTTGGGGGGAATTTTATTAGCCTTTCTTGACTGAAATTAGTACAAACTACACAGTTAATAGGAGCATTTGTAATTTTCTAAAAACATTTTTGGTAACAGAAAATACCATGTGGTCATTGAAATATCTTGAAATTCAGTTTTTTTTTTTGTGGCACAGAAAAATAACATTTGCTTTTATATTGCAAACAATTTATTATTTATTATTGATTAATTTATTATTTTATAATATTAAAGCAAATGCGTATCATTTCCACTAAAAAAGGACACTAGTGTATGGTGACTTGTCCACTTGTCCACTGACAAACTATAAGCGCATCAACAGTTTCGGGCCCGCATTTCTTTTGTGCAATGTGTTGCCACCATTTACCGTGCATTGCCTAGCATCGACGTGTTCTCTTCCCGTCTGCCCATTTTCTCCAGATCTAAGATTCCCTGCAGTGTAGGAGACAGTTGGATAAATCTGGGTGATAAATCAAATCAATAAATTTGAACCCATCCCAGGTATCTGAAATGTTAGAGGTCAATCTTTCTTGCCAACCATACTACCTAACTCTAAAGTTTCAATTTTAATTCAATGGCCCCCACTCTACAAGAGTTACATAATGTTATATTATAGAGTTTCTGTATCTATCCTTTCTTAGACATTCACGCTATTGACCTCCCCCCCCCGTATGTTTTAATGAAATGTGCTTTGCTTTGCAGTATTGTGACAAGATTATCGGAGCTTACTTTGAGGACTGTGGGAAGGTTTCCCCTTTATCCAGTGAGTACAGACAGGTGTGTGTTGATGAGTATTGTCAATCCGGAGGCGGCAAGGACTCCACATGTGACACCTTCTCTGAGCTGTCCCGACTCTGTGCCTATGATGGACCTGGCGTCTTTGAACACTGGCGAGATGATTCTGCTGTAGTTTGTGGTAGGTGATTTTTTTCTTTAACAATGGTAGTTTATGAAAAAAAATACCTTCTTAAAAGACTCACTTCATATCTCAAGGCATGTCTGAAAACAGTTTTCTTGAATGATTCTAAGGCCAAGCTAAGGGAGTCTTTTCTCTAAGGTATATTTATGAGGAGATTGAGGCTCATTTTGTGATATGATTTGCCCTGTTGCAGGGTTTTGTGTTAAGGTCTTAATTGATATGATCATCAGCAACTATAAGGGGAGAAGTGTAAATCCTATTAAAAAGTAGCTGGTTATTTTTAATAGTCTACTCATAAAGTATTATTTTATTTAAAAAGAGTAGTAAACTGTAAATATGAGCTTTATACATGTATAAGTACAATTTATACAATTTATGATGCTTGGGTTAATCTCTATAGAATGGCATATCAAGCTCAACATGGGATGAAATTAAATGATGCCCTTTACCTTTCCTCTAAATTAAAAATTACTCAGTGAAATAATGCTTGAGAAATTGGCATCATTTAGTTCTATGGAGTGTCTTTAGAGATCAATTTGTTTCTTGAAAAGCAGAATCAGTGAATCCCATTTGAAAGGATCATTAGAGAACTGTATATTTACTCTGCTTTCCTTTCATTTATAAGCATATTTATTTCTATATATCTTCAGAAAAGCAACAATGTCCAGGAAAACATATCTACAAGGAATGTGGACCTTCAAATCCTCCAACTTGCTCTAACGTGGCTCCTTTTCAAGACAGCGAATGTGTGAGTGGCTGCACCTGCCCCGAAGGTAAGCTACCTGTGAACATCTCCACTCCAGTACAGCAAAACTAGACAAAGAACAGCCATCTGCAGCTCCAAAACATGACTGCAATAGGTGAATTCTTCTTATGGGTCCTCTGGCAACCTACTGAGAAACGTCAGATACTTTCAAAGCTTACGTGTGTTTTATCCCTGAGTACAGAGAGTCTCTGAAATCCACTGATTTACATAGGGCTTAGAAGGTCCTGTCTCTATGGGCAGGCAACTCAGGCTCTGAAGATTTTTATCTCCATTCTTATCAATCCTAATGAAAAACTATCCCTTACACAAGAACTTAGCAGTTCCGGGCTCATTTGCACCTGTTTTAGAAGTGTTTCAGAAGTGGTTACAGTTGTTAAAGAATTCACTGGTGTTCGTATAATTTTGAGAGTACATCTCTATGTGTATTCTAGGTTATCTACTGGACGATATTGGAGATAAAGGAAAGTGTGTATTAAGGGAAAAATGTCCTTGTGAATCTAATGGAAAAGTGTATAAGCCAGGAGAAGTCCGAGAAGGCGCCTGTGGTTCTCAGTGGTATGTATGTGTGTGCTTTTCAACTATATTTTATGGTCATTAAAATAACATCTAGGATTTATCCATGCTCAAAGCTATTAAATTTTATTCAGCAAAAATTATACTTCTTAGAATTGTAACCGCATTATGGGAAAAAAAAGAAAAAGCAAGCAGGCAAACAAACAAAACAATTGTCAGTTCGCTGTTTCTAATTCCTGGCGTGTTACTCTCACAGATTCTGGGCAATGAATCAATTTCTCAGGATTTCTCAGAAATTTTTAAATTGTGATGATTTTGAGCACACTTCTACTAATCTTTACACTCTACTATTTAGATAGCTGAACTTGTGTCTGTTGTATTTTTTTTTAAAGTGGCACGAGAAAGGTGCCATGTAACAGAGTTCACATGGAGGGTATTTTATTAGGAGAAAGGGAGCATGAAAAAGGGGGAAGAGGAGGGGAGACTGGCCTCTGGGGTCAGGAGCAATGGAAGAACAAAGAAAGGTGCAGAGGGAGAGAGAGGGAGAGAGGCAGGTGGATCTTTATGAATTCGAGGTCTACAGAGCAAGTTCCAGGACACTCTCCAAAGCTACAGAGAAACCCTGTCTTGAAAAACAAAAACAAACAAACAAACAAATGAAATGTCACGATATCAACATGGATGAGACACCTTACGGGGCTCTTGTTGGGTGGGAAATGATCTGATGCTCGCATGGCATCTTTGGATGTGATATTCTAATGTGGTGGTGTTTGCTCAGCCTGCAGAAGGTTTGACCTCTGACTCATCCTTACTTCCCACAGCACATGCCAAGATGCTAATTGGTCCTGTACCAAAGCCCTGTGTCCTGGGATATGTAAAGTGGAAGGGAGCCTAATTACTACTTTTGATGACAATGTATTTAACCACCCTGGAGACTGTTACTTCTTGGCCCTCCACGTAAGTACTTATCTACATCTCTGAAAAAACTGAGCAAATCCCCAGAGAATTTAAAGCACAATTCATTTTATGTTATTGAGTTTTGGTAATTTCATACATGAATACAATGTATTTAGAGTGTATCTATTATTTCCCATTTTCCCCTCCAAAACAACTTCACTTCCTTCTCCTTTCTCTCCTTCTCCTCTTCTTCTTTATAACCAATTGTGTCCAATTATTGCAGCCATGATTCACATGGGTATTGGGTCATCCACTGGGACATAAGCAACCTACTAAGGACTACACTCATAAAGAAAACTGACTCCTTCTCTCTTAGCAACCATCAACTTTCAATAGCTCCTCAGCCAGAAGTGGAACCTTGGGAGCCCCATCCATGTCTTTACAGGAATGCTGACAGCTTGGTGTCAAATGGGTCCTGTACAGACACTTGCTCTGCGTTGTTCATCAGGGAAATGGCTCTGTCATGCCCAGAAGACAATTTCTGGAATTTACAATATTTTTTTCTCCTCCACTTTTCTGATGTTCCTTGAGACTTCTTGGGGAAGGATTGTGACATTAGGGATAATAACTCAGTAGTTAGTTTTTGTACTTTGGCCAGGTTGAATCTCTGAATTAACTACTGTGAAAATAGGCTTCTTTGATAAGAGGTGGAAGCTACTTTCAACTATGTGTATAAGGATAGAGCCTTGGAAAGAAGTTAGATGCAGTTTAATTTACAATAGTAGTAGGTTCTGCCCAAGGGCGTATAATCTCTCCAGCACAGATTCTTGGTCAAGGGTAGAGATCCAGGCATGAGTTCCTGCTCATGAAGCAAGCCAAGACTGAAAACCAATTAGAAAGATGTCAGTTGGCCCCATAACATCCATGCCACTACTGCACCAAGAGGCATTTCTTGCATGGCTGTCTGTCACTCACAGGGCTCACAGCTATACAAGACTGTTGACAACCACACTCTTCCAGGACCTTGTCTAGTTCCTTCGGACACTAGGAAAGCTAGCTGGCAGGGGGGAAGCTGCTTTTCCACTGAGTTCCTGTGTAAACAAAGAAGAAGCAAACAACCTTCAGAATCTTCATTACACATTTCAGCGTCTGCTTTCTGTCACAAATCGACATCGACATCATTGAATAGTAATATTATATCGTGTACACTCTGAAAATTTCTGGCTGAAACAAAATTCAGCAGGTAAAATCTTAGTCTGTGAACAAGCCACTAAGTACTTAGGAAAGTCATTGCACTCTTCTGCCTGTCTGTGGACACTCAACTGTGCTTCACATAATCTGATGCTGTCCTTCCTAGATGCATTTTCTTCATTATTTCCATAAATTTATCTTTAGCCTTTATTATACAATGTGACCCCATTGTGGGATAACTGTTGGGTTTGCATTTAGACTCGTCTTAGTATTAAAATCTTAAGTAATCTGAAGTACAGTTACAGGGCAGTTCTACTTTGTAGTGCCTACTTTCAGTGGATGGGAGAAAAATGAATAGTGTTTCATCTTTCTGGGAAGGAATGAAGAACTGAATTTGTGTACGGCAAATAGAGAGGAGTGGGTTATTATGACAAAGTTCCACAAGATGTAGTGTTTACTACTGAAGAGCTGTATTCCAGTCATGTCTCTTTTCTTCCTTTTTATGCTACCTTTGTTCACTCTATGAGGACTAGGCATGGAGAAAGCGAAAGAGAAACCTACTAAAGAATACAGAACGTGTGCTGTATCCAGATCAGTGGTTCAGAGACCTGCAAGACAGAGCTTGAAATCTCATGGCATTGCACAGCAACATTTACAGCTTCTCCAGCTAAAACCCTCTTGCATTAAATCTGTACAGATGCTATAGACTTCCCAGGGCTTCAAAAGCCATTTTCCCTTTAATTCCTAATAACACCACAAAGCACCACAGTTATGCTGGATTCAAGAGTGAAGACAAAAGAAAACATTTGTAGTGAAATGTCCACGTACAGAGCATAGCTTCACATGATGTCCAGCCCATTTATAAAATGCTTGTCTCTTCCTGTGGGTACACCAGGGGCTGAATAAGATTTCTAGACTCTGAGCAGTTTGTGTGATGAAACTGCAGATTTAAGTTCATTGTGAATCAATCATGTAGAATTAGCGCGTGCTAAAATTCCTGAACATATTTTTTTTTTCAGAATGAAGAGATTTCTATCAGTGTTGAGCTTCGTCCATGTGATGATGGTCAGACAGGGTCGTGCCTAAAGAGTGTTACGCTACTCCGAAATTCTGTAAGTATTTACCTTCCTAAGGTTCAGCCAGAGCAGCATCAGGTCAATGATTTCACTAAGTAAAATCTGGAGAGGGCTGAGGTGTTGGCCTAGTGAGGAGGAGAGCTTGATACAAATGCATGGGGATCTGAGGTCCAATGGCAAGGACTTTGGAATGGCTGGGCATGAGTGCATGTGCCCATAACCTCAGTCCTCTGTGTCAAAGGGAGAATGATCATGGGGGCCTTGCTGACCATCTAGCCTATCCAAAACCCAGTGAGATCCAGGTCCGGCAAGAGACCCTATCTCATCAGGATAAGTCAAGGAGTGATAGAGCAAAACACGCAATGCATTGCTTTGACTTCTGAAGGAAAGTACATAGGCACATGCACCCTCTCACACACATGGACCCCACATACATGCACACACACACACACACACACACACACACACACACGAGAGATGGTTCAGTTGATACTTTTCATGGGTTTCATCCCTAGCACCATGTGAGAAAACAGAATGTTCAACCTGGCTACATGGTCTGTAATTCCAGAATAGGGGAGGGAAAGACAGAGCAGAGCTCTGGGACTTGCTGATGAGCCAGTCTTGACAAATGGAGAAGCTTCAGATTCAGTGAGAGGCTATGTCTCAAAAGAACAAGGTGTGTGGCAATTTAGGAAGACACATGGTACAGTCTGTGCTCTATGCCTTTCATTACCTCCCACACAAATGTGCACAATAAGTCTGAATTCGGGAGAATAATGACTTGCTATATGAATTAAGTCTATGAATAAGATGTCAGAAAAACAATTTTATTTCTAGAAAAGTTAGAAAGAGCCAAGATCCTAAAATATGCCCACAGTGAGTATAAATACTTGTGTGTGAATGACAGGCTAACCATGGTTTTCCATTAGGTGTTCATTGGGACTTTAAAGGGCTCATGCCTGCCTAGGTGTTGGTACTTACAAAGGGTAACCATCTTGGTTTCAGTTTCCTTGTCTGTAAATTGATGACAAGCGTTCCTTTCCAGGACTGATATGGGAAGCACGAAGCATAGTGTAAGAAAGGCTTTAAAGATATTCATAAATCTATGCTACAGAACTCAACATGTTTTTAGTGGCATGAAAATTCAGTTCCATGGAGCACATTAAAGCTATGCTGAGCTAACGAAGGGTTTTAAATATTAGTCTGTTTCAGGCGGCAGATTTGTGTTCAATAGTGATGGGACAGTCACAAAGGATGGAGTTGTAATTCAAGGTTATTACTATTCAGGTAAGGTTAACAACAGCATCTAAAAACATCTTCCAGATGACTTTATTTACTCAGCTTCCCAAACTGACATGCTAATTTTGGTCAAAAATTGTCATTCAACAGATGAAATACAGATCTTCAATGCATCTTCTTTATACATGCAAGCAGAGGTGCTGTCTCTCCTAAAGATGCAGATACAAATTGCTCCTGCAATGCAGTTGTATTTGTCCATGCCTCCCGACGCATTCACAGACACTGTCGGTAAGTCCTCCAAACAGTATCATTTCCAAGGATCCGGCATTATGCCCTTAATGTGGCAATATAATGTCACAGAGAACATAACTCTTCCATTCTAAGAGACTGGAACTTGTGCTGGACCTGTCTGTCAAAGATAATAATGCACCTCAAGGTCACTTAGGACATAGGACGGCTTTTCTTCTGTGTGCTCAGCCTGTTGATTTAACTTGCATTTAAGAGAACAGTGTAACAGTCAGCCTTGGCTCATCACAGAATCAATAACAAAGGGTGTTCAACAATTCTCACATTTCAAATTTTTGAATTTAGACTTTTATTTTGGGTCTAGAGAAATGGCTCAGTGGTTTAGAGTACAAGGTCCTCTTGCAGAGATCCCAGGTTCAATTCCCAACACCCACATGATATTGCAAAACCATCAATCAGTAACTCCACGTCCAGGCATGCATGTGGTACACGTACACACATGCAGTCAATACACACATGCTTAGGAAATAAAATCTAAAAATATTTAAGGACTGTTATTCAGCTAACATTTTGAAAGTATGTTTTAAACGTCCTTTTACTAGTAGTGTAAATCAAATAAGACCTTGGCATGCAGCTAAATAAATAAAAATACAGTATGTATAACCTTAAAACTCAGGAACAAGTGCCCTTAGGCTACACCACAAGCTCATTTATTTTCCTGAAGCTTCCCATCATAAAAATGAGCTCTTCTTCACGGTCATAAATGGTAAAAGAATAAATGGCAAGTCCCACAAAATGATTAATGCATACATGGTACAAGTTTTATGCTACATACTTTACGTGAAAGGTAATGTATCTTAATATAGACAAAGAATGCAACTTGTGGATTGCACAGCTCTGACAAGGAAGGCACATAGCCTTTTCGTGATGCATCTTTCTAAGGTTACCATGGCAAACAGCAAGTACCATTTATTGCACATGGTTGTCTGTGCGCTGGAATTTTTGTGAAAGACTAATGAATGAAGTCTGAAGTGACGTAAGATTTTACCTACTGTGTGCTGGTATTAACAAAACATATTTCAAGTATTTTTTTTTTACAATGTTTTCAATAAAGTAACCGGAAGGCTGCATAGGTGGAAATGGTAACCTTTGCTCTGTGACTTCAACATCCTGCAGGTCTCTGTGGTTCCTACAACAACAAAGCAGAAGATGATTTCATGTCAAGTCAGAAAATTCTGGAGAGTACAGCTCAGGCATTTGCTAATTCCTGGGAGATGATGTCTTGTTCTAAGGGGAGCCCCTCTTCCTGTGTCAGTATCGAAGCAGGTAATCATCATGGAGATTCAAGCTGTGTTGTTTAAGTTGGTGCATTTGCAGACTTATACTGATGTAGACATCAGATCACCTTGCCTCTAGCTAACATTTCTTATATTAATCCCAGGTTTAGATGAAATAGAGAATTAAAGAATTAAGAGATGGCACAAAAGAGTAAGTCTCTTATGAGGAACAAAGTTAATCTATGTTCACTAGAAAAAGAGGCCAGCACTTTGCGGTAGTTTATAAAATAAATCTGATTTTCGGTGTATTATATTTTAATTAATAGCAGCATAAATTAAGCTGAACTTTGAGAACACCGTATTAATAGTAATAGTTTTGGGAAAAGCATAAGTGATGGGTTGTTGCCAATTTGCCAGGGTATCAGCCACAGCTGCTTTCTGTGTCTCTCTCGGAAGTTCAGACTCCTTTATGCCTAAAATCATCATGGAACGCATTGGCTATCAGCGCCCTTTTTAAAGATCTTAAAACCTTAAACCTTAAAAGCATCATGTAAAGCATTGGCTATCATCATTTTACAGATCTTCTTTTTGTGAATTTAGTATCGTGTATATATTTATAAATAAACAAATATCAGTTAAGCACTTTTCAACAAGTGCATTTGATTTTCATCACCTGGTGATGCTGTGTCATGTGACGTGCGTGTAATGCAGAAGAGGTGGCAGGTGAGCCATTGACATTGATGCACAGCAAAGAGACACTTAAGATGTGGCGTACATCACCTGTTTTCATTTTTATATCAAAACTGCATTTCAGAGAAATGTTAAGTAGGTTAATAGAAAATGTCAGTAGTACTGAAGACTCAACTTCTAGTGTGCTCTGTTTGCACTGTGGTATTTTAAGCATAGTTCCATGGAATTTGATACACCATAGCAACTGATTGAGAGCAAAACTCTTCCTGGAGGCAGAACTCAGAGATGTTCAGCTTTCCTTTCAATTAAGAGACTTTGGTGCTACCGAGTCTAACTTTGGATGCTTTCACTTCTTTCCAGAGAAGTTTGCTGACAGCAACTGTGGGATTCTTCTCAATTCAAGCGGGCCTTTTGCTGACTGTCATCAAACTGTGAGCCCCAAATTCTACTATGAGGTACGTGATGAGCTGACACAAACAGCCTTTATTGGAAATATTTTGATGATTTTGACAAAGTGTGCACATCTTAATCATTCTCAAATTGTTACTGTTGTCAACAGATGAAAGTATACGCATAAAATTAGAATTAGGGTCTAATAATTTACCTAAATATTAAATAAATTAACTTTATAAATATAATGTTGGAAAATAATCAATCCCAAATGAGAAAAAGCTTGAAGAACTTTTCTTTTTTGCTTCTTGAAAGTAGATGAATAGTTAATGAGCTATTTTAAACATTTAAAAAATATTTCTGAATGTTTCAAAGTACAATTTAATTTTAGGGTCAGGAATGCCTGGATATACATTAAGCTATGGGTTTGCCTGTTCTTATGAGTAACTTTGAAATGTGATTTATATTTTTTTTTTATTTGAAAGGAATGCAAAAAATACACGTGCTCTTGTGGAAGCACCCAAGATTGCCTGTGTACGATTTTAGGGAACTATGTGAAAGCTTGTGCCGAGAAAAAAACATACCTGGAGGGCTGGAGAGATGGGCTATGTGGTGAGTAGGGGTGAAGCCACCTAGTGGGCTGGGGAGCTTGGCTGTGTGGTGAGTAGGGGTGAAGCCCACCTAGTGGCTGGAAAGCTGGGCTGTGGTGAGTAGGGGTGAAGCCGATGCCTCTGCTTCCCTCTCAGCTTCCTGCATGCACCTGTGCCGGGATGGGGAGACACAGGCATTGACAAACTTGTACCTGATACTTTCGTAAAGAATGTTTTTCAAACAATTATGGGGTCTCCCTTTCTCTCGTGGTCTGTTGGCCACCAGTCCGCGGGGACAGAGGGAGCAGAGGCAATGTGCACGGCTTTGTACAGCCCGTGAGTGCAATGGAAATAGACTTCTTCGAGTCTGATTCGATGTCACAGCTCAGTTTTACTTCAGAGTAAAGGGAATATGTGAGACGGAGACGGCAGCTGGGGAATCACCTAATTTGGCAGCTGGTCCTACCATACAGCTGGAGCACGATATGTAATTATCATTATCAGGTGCAGACAGCAGGGGGAAGCATTTGCCGGGAACTATGTCAAAGGTCACACTTAAGTCAGGTATCCAGACTCAGGTACAGCTTCCAAATGAGGTCCTTTGGGCCTAGAGATACTATTTTAAATAGGATGGGGACGGAGTTCTGCCACAAAGGGAATCCTCCATACCATGTTGAGCTCAGAGAGCTATCCCAGCATGCAGAGCCCTCTAACAAATGATCATTGGCAAATCTTAAATTTCGGCATTTTAAGTCATTCCTTTATTTAATATATATTTAATTTATTTTTATATATAATTTAACTTATATTTTCAAGATGATAGGTATTTATAGGAATATGTTCAATTACTGTATACTGAAATTACATGGTTTTTCATTTGTAAATTAGGAGCCCCAATATTATAGTTAAAATATTTATCATAGTCTTTGAATATGACTTCATAAAGATTTACCTTGAGAAAAGAAGAGCAGTAATCAAAAAATCTTCTACAAGTCAGGTCTGGAGGCATATGCTCCATTTCCCAGCATTTGGAAGGCTGAGGCAGGAGGATTTCTGTGAGTTTAAGGACAGCGTGGGCTACGTAATGTATTGCGGGTCAACCTGGACTATATAGCAAAATCCTGTCTCACAAAAGCTTGCAGATTTGTAGAAGCCTACATCATCCAGGTTCCTCAACACTTCCTGGTCCGTGTCCAACAGGCAGTAGGGCTGATCACATTAAATTTTCTATGATATCAATTTAGCACAGGGAAATGCCCTACTCTTCTTGTTTAATTGTAATGACCCTCTTTGGTATTTCCCTTCTGCTCCTTCTAATCTATATTCTATGGTCAAAACCAAATGAACCAAATAAAGTAAAAATCACACAAAACTTGTCAGTTGTTTCTCCTGGTTTAAAGGGTTCTATGGGCACAGACAATGTCCCTGGACTCAAAGCTTCCAGCCCTTGGCATGCTTCTTGTGAGAATCACACTGTCTCCCAGTTTAGACTGTTGTTCCGTTGTAAAACTACCCTTCTCTGGGCTGCAGTCCTCCTGTGAATTGGCCCATTCTCTTCCCTCAGTACAGATCTTCCCTGTGCATGGAAATAGTATTTATCTTCCTTTTAATGGCGCCTGCTACAGTTGTCCTTAAAATGGGGACAATAGCTACACAAGAGCAGTGTGTATTGCCTAGCCTGACGATGGGCTTTGTCTGAAACATGGACTGAAAAAGAAGAATAAAAAATAAACCAATGATCAGATAGCTTTTTTCTATACTCACAACTTAAAATTTGAATAATCCACTATGCTTTCTCTAAGCATCAGTGTGAAGGAAGTCCTCTTCTAGAATGTGTGCAGATGGTAAGGACCATTCTTGCTTCATCCCCACAGAGCTTTCTTGTCCAAGTGGCCTCGTGTTTAACTACAAAGTGAAAACCTGCAACAGCTCTTGCCGATCACTCTCACAACGAGACCGAAGCTGTGATATAGAAGATGTTCCAGTTGACGGATGCACTTGCCCTGAGGGAACGTACCAGAACAGTGAAGGGAACTGTGTTCAGATGTCTGAGTGTGACTGCTATGTTAATGATGAGATTGTGCAACCTGGCAAATCCATCCTTATTGATGACAATAGCTGGTGTGTAGGAGATTATATAGACACTCATTCTGATACCCACAGCAGATAACACAGATGCTTGTGATGACACTGACAAGGGAATGTGTTCTCTCCAGAGGAATACTCACTTGATTGTATGAAGTCTCCCTCAGATCTACTATAGTTTTCATTTTCCATGTGTTACTACAGCTGGTTGGTGCTTCTTTTATTCTGGAGGGGCCATCACAATCTACTACACCATAGTGACCATACATGTGGTTTATTCCACTCTGTGTTCTGGTAGCTTTTATAAATAGACAATGTAAATTGAATTTACACTCAAATAATGATCTGTTTTAGTCTGTAGCATTCTGCAAATACTTGTTCAGCGCCTGTGCTAGGGCTTGTATTTATTGCTAGAATTACAAAAGAAAGTATTCATAGCCTTGTCTACACAGATTAAGCAAGGTATTTGTTACCGTGTGGTAGCAACCACGGCCTGAGGAGTTGGGGAAGCTTCCGAAAGGAGGGTGAACTTTGAATTCTCCTAAAAATGGTCTGTCTTTCCAGACAAAACTGCTATGTGGAGAATGATTTCTGTGAAAAGAATGAGATAGCACATGCTTAAAAATATTGGGCACGGAGGCTATTGTATAAGATTATGTTAGAGACATAGACAATGGCCAGGCTGCGGCTTAGATTCCAAGTTCACAGGCATATGGTTGGGGTTCGAGGATAAGCTTTCTCCCCATCACTCTGTAATTGCAGAATCAAGTGATTATGAGCCACAAGCTCTCTCTGCAGCTATGGCATCTCTCAGTACTATTGATCCAGAACACCATCAGCTCTTGCCAGCATCTCTTAGTTAACTATCTTTCCCTTTTCTTTGACTTCCTCTATTCCTGTGTCACCTTCCCTGCTCTGTTTAAGGTAAAGCACAATTTTGCTTGAACCACTAGCCTTCTTAAACAGATGACTGACAGTTGCTAAAAGAATAGAAATGTACTTGCATGTCATTTAAGGCCATACAAGATCTGGCCCCAACTTTTTACTATCACTGTCCTCATTTGTATATTATTCTGCTTGCATCTGCAGGAAATTTTTGGGAGCCTTTGAAATACACCTTGTTCTTTTGGCCATCAATTTTTCATATTTCTTGCTAGATTAGATCCTGTAATCAAACTTTCCAAGAGGTTTTCTTTGACATTCGTAGAACTTGCACCTTCCTACAGTACTTGTAAGGTTACAACTTATAATTTGGCAAATCATATACATATATATATTCTTATAACTGATTCACATTTGTCTAATTGCCCTTAAATATCAATGTTTAAAGAGATAAAATATATGGTTTTCTTCTATTTCCAGTGTCTGCCAGGATGGAGGGCTTCTTTGCGAAACTCCTCTTAATTTGACCATACGTAAGTGGTTTTTATTGCTGTTGTAATACTTGCTTATTTGATTTCCCACACTTGCCCTCATTTCTTTCTTTTCTGATACTCTTCTTGCCTCACCTCACCTCACCTCACCTCTCCTTTTCTTATCTATCTATCTATCTATCTATCTATCTATCTATCTATCTATCTATCTATCATCTATCTACTCTCTCCTCTCACAAAACACCCCAGAGTGGCCTTGAAAGGACAGCAATCCTTCTAACTTCAGCATCCCAACTGCTGGAGTTAAGGACATGTGCCAGAACTCCCCCTTCTTACCCAAGTATCTGTCAATAAAATGGTCAAAAACTAGACCAGGAGCTCTGGATTCACGATTATATCTTTTTTATCTTGCAGACAACTGCTCCAGGGGTGCTGAGTATGTAGACTGCAAAGATCCCAAGGCACAGAGAAGGACTGATAGGACATGTAGCACCAGGAACATACCTGACTTTCAGGTCAGTAACATTACATCAGAGTGGAGCCTTAAAAACTTTAAAATTTTCAGGGTAAATAGAAGCCACAACGTATAAGAAAAGTATTTCGATCATCGTGTGTATGCGTGATCTCTTTCACTGTCAAATGTGAGCTGCAGATGAGCAGTGACCATAGTTACGCATTTAACTTGGTGCTGATGATGTGACATGCTGACAGAAGTATTGATTCTGCGCGTTTTCTTGTAGGGAGACTTGCCATGCAAACGTGGGTGCTACTGCCCAGTAGGAATGGTCCGCAACTCTAAAGGGATATGCATACCTCCTGATGACTGTCCCTGCTCTTTTGGTGACAGAGAATATGAACAAGGAAGTGTTACTTCTGTTGGCTGCAATGAGTGGTGTGTAATAAAGACTTCACAATTTATTTGTTTTAGATATTTAGAAATGGATAGTTTGCTGTTATTTTTCATGGGAATGAGAAAGTCGTGTCTAGGTCTGTTTGAAAGAATAATGTCCAGTGTAAGTTAGCACAGGATAATTTTTTTTTGCGTAAAAAGCACCATGAACATTAGATAATATAATCTAGATAGCTTCAATATTTAAGCCAAGAAACATTTTATGTTCTTTTTTTACAAACCACTAAAATATATGAACCATGACAAAAATAATGGTCACTCTTCAATTTTCTGCTTTTAGTACTTGCATAAAGGGGTCTTGGAACTGTACCCAAAATGAATGTCAAAGTACTTGCCACATCTACGGGGAAGGACATGTTAGAACCTTTGATGGAGAAAGTTACAGCTTTGATGGGCTCTGCCAGTACACATTCCTTGAGGTAATTTTGTGTATATTTTATCATCATTTTTTCTGTCCTTCATAATTATTCTTGAGTATGGGGAAATTTATTTTCAAAATATTATTTTATTTATTTATTTACCACTTTTGATATGTTTCTAGAAGGGCGAGTATTTTCCAGTGTGAGGATGGCTCTGGTGGCTCTGTTAACTTCTGGCTTGGCTTCGTTAGATGTATGACTATGGCCACGTTCCTTTAGATTCTGTATTGATAAAATGTGCATGGAAATAGCACCTACTGGAAGCCATGTGGGAGCACTCATTGTAGCCCACACTAAGTGGTTAGTGATGGTAGACCCTGTTATCCTTGCTGTAGCAATAGAAATGGTGACTAGAATTTCTCAAGTGCTCCTTGCCAAGAAAAACTGACACAATTCATTGTTGTTAAGTCATTGTAAACCTAGACAACTTTTATTGCCCTTATAATGCAAATAGAGAAGGGGAGCTTTAAGTGAATTAAGCATCTTAAACTGTTGTAAGGAGATGCTTGTTGGTTCCTAGCTGCTCAGCCCCGAAATAGTCACACAGAAACTATATTATTTAAATCACTGCTTGGCCCATAAGCTCTAGCTTCTTATTGGCTAACTCTTACATATAAATTTAACCCATCTCCATTAATCTGTGTATCGTTATGTGGCAGTGGTTTATCGGGTATGTTCTGGTGTCTGTGTCCTGCGGGGCTACAGGGCTTCTCTCTGACTCTGCTTCCTTTCTCCCAGCATTCAGTTTAGTTTTCTCCACCTACCTTTATTCCCTGCGCAGGCCCCAAAACTCTTTATTAACCAATGGTATTCACAGAATACAGAGGGGAATCCCACATCATTAAACTACTACCTAGAGATTGACATTGTGAATGAACGAAATGTCTGATTTCAGAGCTCATGCTTTTAGAGACAATTAAGGTCCTTGATAAGATAACATTTAAAGATAAAGCTTAGATTCATTATTATTTGTAGATTGTTTATGACTGACTATCAAATTTCATATAAATTACTGAAGCAAAAGAACCACGTTTAGCTATTTATAGAACCCCCAAACAAATCAGTGATTCATATATATGATGCAAATACTTCTACATCTATGGTAAAATCTGAACTTGTGTGGAAGCAATGGAATTAGCTTTGAATCAGGACAGGCTATTTAGAGTGCACTCTACAAGCTGCCTGGCCAGAAATGGAGCCAACCACCTGCACGTTTAGGAATTCTCTACCACACCTTGTGACGTATTGAATTTAAGAAATCATTTTGGATGTTGCAGTTGAAGTCTATGTTCCTGAAACTAATGAACTCTCATAATTTACTTTTAACAGGATTACTGTGGTCAAGAAAACGGCACATTCCGTGTTTTAACTGAGAGTGTCCCATGTTGTGAAAATGGGCTTACCTGCTCCAGAAAAATCATAGTGGCCTTCCAGGTTTGATATAGCCCCGCTTTGCTTGAATCTCCTCTCAGGCTGTGCTCTTTCTAGTTGAGCGGGTTCTTTGTAAAATCTCTTTTCTAATTACAGGATCAAAACATCATCTTACAAGACGGTAAAGTGACAGCAGTTCAAACCACTGAAAATAAGGATTGTGAGCTCAACGGGACCTTGTACTCCATCCACACTGTTGGCCTCTACCTGATTGTGAAACTTCCGAATGGAATCATTCTGATCTGGGACAAATACACCAAAGTTTCTGTTATTCTGGACCCAAGGTGGCAGGTATATACCTCTCTCAAACACTGGGGAATCTGACACTTAGAAGCAGGTTAGGGCTTCAGTCACTGTAATGAGCCTACAACTTCTCTTTAGTCATCTTTAACTATAATCAAGTGACCAAAAATGCAAGTGCTGTCAACTGAGGCGTTCTAGGCTAACTGTATCTGCTTTCTTGGAATTATCACATGGTAATCATTTTAAGGTAATTATATGTTTTGAATTAAGTATATCTCTTGCAGTAGATACTCTGAAAATATGAGTATATACATGCATAATTTAAAATTCACAAATCTATTTTTCATCGTTAAAAACATTTATTATGCCAGGTGTGATGGTACATGCCTTTAGTTCCAACACTCAAGAGGCAGAGGCAGGTGGAGCTCTGTGAGTGTGAGGCCAGCCTGGTCTACATAGTGAGTTTCAGGACTGGACTGGCAGGACTATGGAATAGAAAAAGCTTCTCCCAAC